TGATGCTTATGAAACAATTTTTTGGAGTTTGTTTATTTATTTATTATTTACCTAGAGATTACGTTTTTTACATTTAATCGCAAGATCCCGTTTTGCATTTATATTTAAAAAATCTGTTTTATGTCACACGGCGCTAAAGGTATTATATTATCGGACCCATGTGAGCACGATCCTCGCCTTCGGCTCGGATTATAAAGTCACATTTGTAAGATAATATTTTACTTGCACTTTTATTGCCTGATGACATAATGTACTATTTTGACACTGCTGCTACGTTCATTCCATACCGAAAAGTGTCGAAAAATATTTTTCATCACGCTGTGACGAAAAGTGAACTTTTCGGCACGCTCCGCGTGCCTAAAAGTCCAATTTCCGCCACATTGTGATGAAAAATATTGTTCGTAACTCGTGAAAAAATGTTTTTTAGCTCGTGGGATTAGACCCCACTCGCCAAAAAACACTTTTTTGCACTCGTTACGAAATATACTAGTTTGAGACATATGAGACGGGAATTTTCAGGTCGTATGATTGGCAGTCCTTGGCTTCGCCTCGTGCTGCCAACTTCACACTCGCGAAAATTCCACCCTCGGGCGGAAAGTACTCACTTTCCTCCCGCTCATCAAAGAGCAAAATACGAATTTTCCATTGCAGGCATGTTAAAAAATAGCATGTGTACCTCGCGCGGGAAAACATGACTTTCCGCTCTTGATACACAATATACTATTTGTCAATAGCCCGTTTTTATAGAGTGAAACGGGGGTTCCGTGATTATTTTTTTTAGAATTTCTCGAAGAATGAAGGAGCTGGCGGTCTAAATAGAATCGTATTCAATTTATGAGGACATTCACTATCTTTCTACGCCCTTGGAAATGCTCACAAGTCTATTCTGACGTTTTTCCAATTTTTTTTTCGGCTTCTGTAACCCTCAACACTCCGTTGGTAGCGCCGCGCCGCTCTTTTTCCGATTCTTTAAATTACACTGCAGTGAAGCCTCAGAAAAATTTGAAAAAATTTGACATCTCATTTTGAAATATCTAGAAGCATTCATCAATGAAAATACCCGCCAAAAATATCATAAGTAGTTAGATTTTCAAATTTTTATTCCGAAACTCTGGGCCGTATCACATATGAAAAAATGGCAGAAATTTTCTATACGATTTTCTATACGGATTGCGTATAGAAATTCTATAGGATTTCCATATATGATATTCGGATATTTCTATACGAATATTTTCTGTACCAATTATTTCTCTTCATAAATTGTTACATAAATTTTTGTTTTCATGCGAAAGATGTCTAAATGCTCCAGAGAAAAACGTAGAGAAATGTCGCAACTCCAAACGAAATGGTTCTGTACACTATCTAGATCACTTTTGATTTTTTTTAGATTTTTCCTAGATCTGCAAAATTTATCATTATGTCCACTGGTGCTGGTGTGGTGCGGCGCGTACGGCGCAGTCAACGGAGTGTTAAAGCGAAGAGCGAAGTGATCGTGGCCTATCCATGATCACTTCGTTTTTTAAGAATTCCTCGAAAACTAAATCGAATTGCATTCAATTTCTCAGAAAATTAACGATCTGTCTACTCTGAATTTATTCTGGATTTTTCAATTGATTGAATATTTTCCATTATTTGGTGCTGAATATTCATGTTTTCATTGCAAATCTAAAGAAATTGAGGACTTTCTGTCTCCCTGCTCCTTAAAAAGTCTAAACTTCCGTTCTTCGTTCGAGAGTTGGGGGAATTTCCAATAAAAAATATCGTATTCCAGTAATAAATTTCCATTTTATCCATTTGAACGATTTCATAAGTTTTTTGATCGATAGTCAGACAAATTTCTCCTGAAAAAATTATGTGACGATTATTCTATCTCCAGGCGTTAAATCTAAAAAATTTCCTATATTCTATCATGTTTGATTAATCGCGCTATAGGCAGAAGGGAGGGAGAAGAAATGGAAATGATCTCGATACCAGGCTCCCAAAATTTACCAACAAATAGGGAAATGAAAGTTATACTCGTTTGAGAGAACTGAAAAATAAACGTTGTAACAATTTTATTCTTTTCAATTTCCGCAAAAACTACTGGGGAAAAATGGATCGTATTTTTTTCTAATTCGCAGGTGAATTTCACGATCGCTTAAACTCTCCATTAACGATAATAGAAAGGAAAAAAAAATGAATTGAATGGTTTTAAGAAATGCTTAAACAATCAATGTTGAGAAAAACCGGAATATTTTTCGATCTCAACTAAAATCCCTCCTATTTCTCCCCTCCTATCCCCCTATTATCTCTCCTAAAATCAAAACATTATTTTTTCCGCGTTGATTTTCTCTCATTCCCAATGCATTAAAAATTATATAAATTACCTTACGAAATTCAACTGGCTGTTTCACGCAATAAATCCTCGTGTGTTTATCCAACCTCGCATTGAATTTCTGAATAAAAATAATATAACTGATGAAAAAAATGGAATGGATCAGTTAGTTATCGAGTATCGAGACGTCGGCTGAACATCTTATCTTTCATTACCTAATCATCTTGTCCTTGAGGTGGAATAATCCTAGCCTATCCTTGCGCAATATTTCCCCTGAAAAAATCGAAAATAGACAGAGCAGGAACCGACTGAAGGATATGCGAGGACAGGCTCACAGCAAGCGTTGCTAGCTGTTGAAGTGGTAAGACGGTACAAGTCAATTTTCACTATTGACCAGTTTTCAATGAATATCTCGGAATCTAAGGGAGAAAGCAAAATTTTTGTCATAACCTTTTTTGTAGAGCCGCCCGAGAGCTACAATAAATGTAATAACGAAAATTTCGCTATCTCTCTTAGAATCGGAAATATTCCTCAAAAACTCAACTGGGAGATAAGTCGACTTAAACCGTTTTACCACTTCACTATTGAATTAGAGGATGAGGGGGCAAAATTGACAATTTAGAATTTTTTCAAATGTTAAAACCCTGTATAATTGATTATGACATTAAATATTTTTTTCTTTGAAGAGTACTCTTCTTTCTTTTTGTGATGAGTACCGTCAGTGGCCCGATTATGAAACCGGTACCGATTATGGAATCAGCGTCACATTTCGTTGAAAATCTGAGACATTATATTATATATTGTTTATTTTACTTTGCTTGAATATACATTCGTACAAAGGTGAAATAAACCAACAGCCTGATTAAAAATAATTATAAATCAATTGTTCTAGTGTGCATGGATAACAGAAAATTAATTTATACCACTTAAAAAGAAAGATTCATGAGTAAGTAGCATAGAAATGAAATAGTTTATTTAGGAGACTATCATTTCTTGATTGATCAAAATATGGTCATCTATATATTTACTGCGATAAACGAAGTTAAGGTATATCCCTAGAAAGCACATTTTTTTAAAATTTAATTTAATTTATTTATTTATTTTATTCACAAAGTCAAACAGCCGAAGGCAATAACATGACTCAATTTGAACAATCGATAACCTTAATCTAGGTTTATCTGTACAGTGGTTTTACAGTGGTCAGTTTTCTTAAGATTGGCTTCATGTTTTTCATAGATAATGTTTATAATAGTCTCAAGCTATCTAAAACAATCTAACTAGCTTCTAGGGGGCTTCTAACACACGAGCCATAGGTCAAACTATGCTACCGGTCCCCCCGAACTCGATTTTTCCATCTTAATGAAAAAACGAGTGTTACGATGTTTTTAATAAACTAATTCGTGATAGATTGCTAAATACCGAATACATTTTTTTTTTGTAAAATTTTGTCCTACATAATTGCAGCGATATTCAACCCTAAAAAATGAAAATGTCGTGAAATCACGTCATATCTGATTCAAGCAATTAATTAACAAATAATTTCTCATTTGATTCAAACAGGCAATCACTTATGAGAATGCAATAAATTAAGTTATTTAGATATATCTTAAGGTATATCCCTAAAAAACACGTTTTTCTTAAGGTTGTTCTCATCTTTTTCACAGATAATGTTTATAATAGTCTCAAGCTATCTAAAAAAATCTCACTAGCTGTACTACACAGATTAGGAGATAATCAATAACGAAATGGAGGCTTCTGACACGGGGGTTAACAATTGATTAACAAATACTTTCTGATTTGACTCACACATTCAGGGTTACCTGCATCAACAACATATGAGGATAGAAAAACTCAATAATTTATGAGAATGCAATAAATTAAGTCATTTACAATTTTTTGGGGAAATCCATAGGGACTCACTTTTGGGTGCTATTGTCTTGGGATATACCTCAAGTCCAGACAATGAGCTGTATACTTTCTCTGAAGCCAAAAATATCCACTAACAATTTTAATTGTTTATGATCCATTAACAATCCATTAATAATCCATTAACAATACCTCTAATTTATTGAAAACAATACGGTTCCATAACTGGGCCTCGTTTCTTAAGTATTCCATGACTGGGTATTAGTTAGAAAAAAATGAAAAATATTTTAAATAGCATTTTATTAAATGTAAAAAATCATACTTTTTTCCGAGGAGACAAACGTAATTTAAGACTGTTAAAAATTATTATTTTTCAGTCTTAAATCACGTTTGTCTCCTCGTGAGTTCTAAATTCTCAATTTTAGACTTTCGAAATTGAAACAATAAAATGATGTTTAACAGCCAAGGGTCAAATGGGCCTCACGCAAGAGCTCTCATCAACTCCAACCATTGAAGAGAATTTCACCGAAAAAAAATGAGCAAGCAACATTCTAAAATAAAAACACGACATGAACAATGAAATGAATAAAATATGCGACGACTTGATCACTGGGCATTGGCACACAAGGTAGTTGGAATGCGCCCCGCGCATTATCGATATGAAAAGGCCTTTTGCACTTGCAACCTGCTGGAGATATCGTCAAATACGTTTTATGAATCTCCTTGGGCATTACTCAGTGCCTCACGGAAGGGGGGGGGGGAGCTTTAAGGTGGATGAAAAGGTGGTGGAGCCCATGGGCGGGACACAAAGCCGCTCCCGATGGGGACCTATATAAGCGGAGACGCGCCTTACCGCGTAACACGATCCTATAACACAATCTCCACTGACAAACAACTCTTCAACATGCGCTTCATCGTAAGTTTTACATAATTTTTAAATAAAAAATCCACAATCAAACAAAAACTTCATAAAAATTTAAACTGAAAACTAAAGATAACGAAGAATTTTTGTGCAAAATATTTCAAAAATAATTTTGAAAATGAATTAAACAATTGAGTCGTTACGGCAATTAATCATAATTTTTTAGACGTGTTTTTAACAATATATAAAAGTGTTCAAAGTGCGAAACGTAATTGCTGTGGATCCGTTTAGAGGAAAAAAAATTAATTACATTTTTTGTCGGTTTCGTTTTATCCTGTTTTATTCGAATGAATTGTAAAAGATCAAAGTACCCGTGAGAACTTTTAACTGGCACACCCAGGTCAGCCATAGTCTCCCTCCGATCCCTTCGAAAGTTCACTCAGTGACCAAAAACCCATTGGCAATAATTTTCCATTAGGTGCAATCGCTGCTCTTCTGCACTGGCCTTTCATTGGCGCAGTACACGACCACCCCAGTCCCCATCCTCAAGCAGATTAACAGGTGAGTAGCTAAACTCCGTGGAGTTCCATCAAGCAATCCCGTAATCAATCAATCAATAATAATCGTCCAATCAAATCGTTTTATTTCCTGTGTAATTAGTTTTTGCGTTTTTATCCTTTTGAATTGAATGATTTGAGAGGTGGGTGGGTGGACTGACGAGAAAATTTCAACTGGCAAAGGCGATACTCACACTGATAGAATGATTCATTTATTCCAAACGAGATTCGTTAACTATTGACGAATGGTAGAGTTGAATATGACCAAATGAATATTCGTTAATAGTTAACGAATGATTCACTTGAATGGCGAAAGTCAAGTCAAACAAGGCTCCTTAAGTATATATTGGTTAACTATTAACGAATGAACATTTGTTGAGACCGAATAGACCCTAACTTCCAGCCAATATCCATTCGTTAACAATAACTAATCCGTTCTATCAGTGCATAATGACTCTTGTGCTCCATTCGGTAAAAGATATATTTTTAGAATTATTTTTAAAAATTTATGTATTTTTGGACACCGACGGTGATGGCGGTGTGGTTAGGGCGCGGGGTTAGCACGGGGACGACTCGGGTTTGATTCCCGGGGGGGAGGCCAAAATGATTTTTTAACGCTCTAATTCTCACAGATTCATTGTCCAATTGAGCGGGAGTCTCGCAAGAGACGACTGTGCACGGAGAGAAAAATTCAATAAAGATTACCAGAAAAACAACGTAAAAATTATGTTTCGAAACGTAATCCGCGAGCGAAGTAAAATTCAATAAAAAGTGTGACTCGGAACTGAAATTGTACGAATCGCCACGTAACTTCTACGATTTGTTTTGTAAAAATTAATCACCCGTCTGATGGCTCACCGCTGTGGGGACAACAAGTCGTTCCGTAATTTTTCCCCAACGATTGAGAAATTTTACGGAACGGAACGTAGAAATAACTCACCAGCTTCATAAAAATTGTTGAACGTTCAAGAATTTTTTATTTTGGAGGCACAATAAGTCGGCAAGTTTCTGTAAGATTTTACTTCTTCGGGAAAAATTACGTGACAATTTCGTACTTTGTTCGGTGATGAACCCGAAAATTCACTGAACGTTTCGGATTTCTTCTCTTCCATTCCTATAAAAATTGCCGGAAAACGATTCTTCATTACGGATTACGTGAATTGTTCCGTAATTTTTACTGAATATTTCTCTCCGTGCGTGTTTAAGGTCAAAACTTGAGATTAAAAAATGACGAAAAATTCACGCAAGTCCCCTATTAAACGAATCCAATCCCTCAATTCCCCAGACACAACGAGGACGGAAGTTACAGTTACGGTTACGAAGCGGCAGACGGTTCCTACAAGATCGAATCGAAGTATCCGACAGGCGAGGTCTACGGTAAGTACGGATTCGTGGACGACACAGGGACAGTGCGCGAGGTTAAATACGATGCGGGCCATCGAGGTTTCGAGCCAGCGGGTCCCGGGATCAATGTACCCCCCTCGACCTTGGCCGAAAACAGCGTCGGAGGTCAGAACGAGCCGGAGGATGACGGGCAGTACCGCGAGGATCCCTCAATCTACTACACGGATCCGAGGTACACCAATGGTGAGAAATACGAGAGACGTCCACCCTCGCCACCGGCACCCCCTCGTCAGGCTTACAAACAACCTGCTCTAGGGTACAACGCTCCGAGATCTGGGTAAGAGATTATCACATTGTGAATTTAATGGGGGTGATTACATGTCTGTTCAACAGGAGGGAAACTCAACGTACAAACCCACAGGGAGGAATATATAATTCGAGAATTATGTATTTTACTAGCGCTCGCTCCGCTCGCTAACCCCTATATGACCCTTGCGATCCTTATTCTTGTGACCCTTAATCCCACCCTCGAAACCCTTATTGTGACCCTTCATTTCTGATCCTCAATTATATATGAGAATTATATATTTTACCAGGGGGCTATGCCCCCTGCTCGCTCCGCTCGCTAACCCCTAGATAACTCTTCTGATCCTTATTCTGACCTTTGTGACCGTTAATCTAACCCTCGTGACCCTGATTGTGACCCTTCATTTCTGATCCTCAATTATATATGAGAATTATATATTTTACCAGGGGGCTACGCCCCCTGCTCGCTCCGCTCGTTAAACCCTAGATAACCCTTCTGATCCTTATTCTGACCTTTGTGACTCTTAATCCAACCCTCGGTACCCTTATTGTGACCCTTCATTTCTGATCCTCAATTATAGATGAGAATTATATATTTTACCAGGGGGCTATGCCCCCTGCTCGCTCCGCTCGTTAAACCCTAGATAACCCTTCTGATCCTTATTCTGACCTTTGTGACTCTTAATCCAACCCTCGGTACCCTTATTGTGACCCTTCATTTCTGATCCTCAATTATAGATGAGAATTATATATTTTACCAGGGGGCTATGCCCCCTGCTCGCTCCGCTCGTTAAACCCTAGATAACCCTTCTGATCCTTATTCTGACCTTTGTGACTCTTAATCCAACCCTCGGTACCCTTATTGTGACCCTTCATTTCTGATCCTCAATTATATATGAGAATTATACATTTTATCAGGGGGCTACGCCCCCTGCTCGCTCCGCTCGTTAAACCCTAGATAACCCTTCTGATCCTCATTCTGACCTTTGTGACCGTTAATCCAACCCTCGTGACCCTTATTGTGACCCTTCATTTCTGATCCTCAATTATATATGAGAATTATATATTTTACCAGGGGGCTACGCCCCCTGCTCGCTCCGCTCGTTAAACCCTAGATAACCCTTCTGATCCTTATTCTGACCTTTGTGACCCTTAATCCAACCCTCGTGACCCTTATTGTGACCCTTCATTTCTGATCCTCAATTATATATGAGAATTATATATTTTACCAGGGGGCTACGCCCCCTGCTCGCTCCGCTCGTTAAACCATAGATAACTCTTCTGATCCTTATTCTGACCTTTGTGACCCTTAATCCAACCCTCGGGACCCTTATTGTGACCCTTCATTTCTGATCCTCAATTATATATGAGAATTATATATTTTACCAGGGGACTACGCCCCCTGCTCGCTCCGCTCGCTAACCCCTATATGACTCTTGTGATCCTTATTCTCACCCTCGTGGCCCTCAATCTGACCCTCGTGACCTGCATTTGGACCTTTCATTTCTGATCCTTAACTTTGGAGTCTTAATTTCGCGGACCAAATTTTTATCACCATAAGTCGATTTCGATTTTTATACTATAGAGAGATATTAAAATCCTTATTTTGACCCTTGTGACCCTTAGTTTCTGACCCCCATGATCCTACTTTGGACCCTTAATCTGACCTTTGTGATCTTTAATCTGATCCTTGTGACCTTCATTTGGATCCTTAATCCGGCCCTCATTGTAACCCTCGTGACCCTTATTTTGACCCTGGTGACCCTTAGTTTGAACCCGATGTCCCTTAATTGGACCCTTACTCTAACCCTTGTGACCCTTAATATGATCCTTATGACACTTATTTAGACCTTTAATCTGACCCTTCATTTGGGCCCTTAATCTGATCCTTGTGACTCTTATTGTGAGTCTTGTGGGCCTTATTTTTACTAATGACAAAAAATATTGTTCGACACACAGCCGTGGGAACTTTGCTACCTCATATGATTACAGAACTCGCCTTCGACTCGTCCTGTAACCTCATATTCGCCAGAAAAATTCCTCACGGCCTAGTGTCGAAATGTACTATTTCGTCATTAGACCAAAAATAGTATATTTCAATACGAGTGAGACGCCAAGTTCACATTCGTGAAAATTCCGTTTCACTCGTATCGAAATGTACCATTTTTCGACATATTATACAAAGATCCCATCAGACGCGTACAGCGGAAGTACATAAATCATAGTTTCGTGTAGCTGGTGGAAAATTTATAAAAACTTAGAAAACTCTTCAATTGAGGTAGTTTTTACAGTCTGTATTTTATCCTGATCTCAAATTATACTTTTTTTCGTTTTCTGTTCTATCTTGTGTCTCATCTTATAAATAGTACGGAATAGTACACTGTTGAAAATTTTTAACTGAAATTTCCAGTATACTTTTCGGGTATTTTTATCACATTTAAGTTTCAGTAGTAATACCACTAGTGCTTCAAAATTATCGGATATTTTCCGATAGCTTCGTTGCCTAGGCACGATTGTGTCAAATTTTGCAGGTTTAAAATTCGGATTTGTCTGCTAAATTTGACACACTCGTTCCTAGGCAGGAAAGCTTGAGGAAAATATCCGATGAATTTTGAAGCACGAGTGGTATTTGACGGATTATTTTTCCACTCGGATTTCGGCCAAGCAGAGTGCAGTGAACAGCATCTGGATATATTTACACAGTCATACATTTACAACCCATTTTTTTGTTTATCTGTCACACAGAATATTAAACGTGAAATGCGTTGAAAGATGAGAAACATTTGAAAAGCTACTAGTGAATTTTCGTCGGATATTTTTTAGAAATTTTCGAAATAAAACTGTTTGACAGCCTCAAATACTGCCCTGTGATTGGCTGAAATCAGAGTGAGAAAAATAATCACCGAAAATTCAAGGAATTTCGCCATTAAAAATTCTGAATTTCGGGGAAAAATCGAAGAGAACTTTAAATTGAAGTTCAATTATTCCTTGAAAATTAATAGAAAACCGCAAAATTACGACAAATATATTCTTGGATTTTCAATTATTGGAAAATTCCGGATAATCTGGCCATGAATATTGATGTTTTCATTGAAAATTCAAATAAGTCATCACTTTTGTCATGAAAAAACCGAGTGAAATCTAATTATTAATCTTCAAGAATCAAAGAAACAAACCAAAAAGTGAAAATCATGAGAGCGCAGGAATAAATCCCAAACATCAATACTTTTCACTTTGAGTGTACTTATTTGTCCGGACAAGCGTGAAATGTCAAGTGAATCGTTCGAAAGCGTACCGAGATCGTGACTCGCTTGAAATTCTGCTAATAATCGTGTATCCAAATTTCCGAACAAAATTGGTGAAATAATTGAAACCGTAAAAAACTCGAGTTTTTTATTTTCATTTTTATCCTGCGATTCGCTATTTTATGAATTTTGTTCAAATAATCGGGAGCACTGTCGAATAATTTGCAATTTCGTACAATCCAATTCAATTTGACGAGATCAAAGCCATGATTCCACGAAATGAATTTTCATTAATTCATTGTTTAGGCGACGAAGAGGACACATTTGTCAAAATAAATCGTTTATTTCACATGTCAATTGATATGTGAAATATTCAAAATGTCATTGACAAATACAAGAGTTCAAATTAATAAACTCCTGTATTCGTTTCCACAAATGAAACCCTTAAAACTTTGTTGAAAAATGTTTTTTAAATAAATAATATATGTTCCAACAAGGAATATTTTCCGTGAAAGAAATTTCACGTTTTGTCAATTTAAACAAATGACTCCTGGGTGTTCAAATACCTCCCAATACAATTTTTCATATGAGCTTTGTAATACTTTCTCAATTTCTAAAAATAAAATTTTAAAAATTAAAAATTTAAATTAATGAAAAATAATTGAAATATCATTACTATTATTATTAGTATAATTTTTGTTATCAATTTAAATTAATTTAATTTAATTTTTGATTTGTCTAAATTTTTAAAAATGTAAATTTAAATTTAAATTTTTATTGATAATTTGGAACCCGAAAACTTTTTTCAAATTAAATGTTGAAAAAAAATATTTCTAGATATTCCAGTTATCAGAAATGAATGCATCCGTTCAGATAAATAAACCCCTCTGCTCATTTCAACAGAAATGTCTGTATTTGATAAAAAAAATGTGTTTCAGCAAAAAGGTTTTGCCTGAATGAAATCTCACGTTTCATTAATAAAAAAAGTAGATTCGTATGAGAGTAAAAATTGCGATAAAAATTCCCCCATGCGTTTTGTAATATTTCCCCAGTTGCAAACAAATGATAATTCACTTTCCTTCTCCAATTTAAGCCCGCCAAAACATTTTTTGCAATTAAGATTTTTTATAAATTTTTTTCTAGATATTCCACTTATCAGCAGTACGAACCAGCGCAACGAGTGCAGCCCGCGGCGCAATATCCCGAGTACCAGAGGTACAAACAGCCCAGCAACATCGACACCTCGTCCTACACCGTTCAATATCGAAAGAAATGAGAATAAATCCCCCGCTCCCGCCGAACTACAAAAATCCTGTAAATAGTTTAATTTATCCCTCTGCTAATAATTAATTAATGATTCACCCACTGAGATGAATAAAAACCCTTTGAAAAACTCTTTCGTTCTGGTTTTGTTCATTAAAACACCTCGAATCCTGTTCCACATTCCCCAGACGGAAGTCAGCGTCACTCTTTCTCATAGTTGAATAATAATCGGCTCAAACACCTCGATCGCCATTTTCCATATTTTTTCCTCAGACTCTCGAATGAAGGCGAGTGCGCGACCTTGTCGCTCTATTTATCCCGCGGGCTGTGCGTTGATTTGAAAGAGAGCGAGAACTGTTACCTGCGTGTCAAGAAAGAGTGAAAGACGCCAGTAGGCCACACCCTGGAATTTCATCTTACGTGTACTTCCTTTAATAGACAAGCAGCGGGCTGATTAGTTGAATAATCGGGGAGGTTACGATTAAAAAAATACCCAAGGCTAGGTTAGGCTTGCTCCCCACGCGTCTGTTATGTGCAGATGGGGAAAAAGAAATTGTTGAAGGAATTGTTTGTTGCGTCAGGTTCATACAGACTGAAAGGGACACAAGAGAAAATAGTTCGTTCAGGTTTTGATAGTCTATTAACTACTAAGACTATCTGCAAAATTACTTTGGATTAATTGAATTATTGGTTTGCACAAAATTCACAAAAACAATCTGATTCTTTTGGCCTTCCTTCTCATTTTCATCAAAGCCATTCAGAATAAAAATCATTAAACGAATGTTTCTGTTTTTCATTCTTTTTGCGTCGATCGAGTTCTCTCACATCTTCAGTTTCTTTCCTTTTGTATAACTACAAATCTTTTCTAAACAATGAACTAAAAAATCGGTATTATTCAAATCTTTACGGATCTTCCCAAATAATTGATGAATTGATAAAAAATATCAAACTTCACTCACTCAAAAAATCTCCATCTCCCTTATCATTTTCACGCGATAATGAACCTGGGGATCGATCAACCCGTCAATTACTTCCGGCCTATGATCTCATTATCAGATCCCCTCTCCCCTATAATTCAATTATTCTTTCCCGCGAATGCAGATCAGCCTGACACATTTCCAATCGATTAATCCCCTGTCATCCCTCGATCTATCCTTTCAATATCGCTATTCCTCTAACATCATGTGACACGCGTGGTCGTAAACATCGGGATTACGCATTGCACCCGAGGTATTCAATACTCAAGGTGTGGTGCTTTCCTAGATCCAAATGACCCAACAACAGTTCCGCTTATGCGAAATTCAAAACCTCTGTGTTACACTGCGAAAACTAATGGACTAATGTCTGAATTTGAGACACTTTTGTAGACACTTTTCAAACACTTTTGGGACGATTTTGTAGACAATTTTGAGACATTAAAATGTGTCTGAATCACACGGAGAGAAATGTTTCGTAAAAATTACGGAACTCACAATTCACTCACCGTTTACGGAATCGACTCAGGAAATTTAAGTGACGGTATCGTAATTTATTACAGGAGATTCAGATAAAAATTACGAAACGCTCCAGAAAAATTCCGTGACAGTTCCGTAAAATTTCCTACAACCAAATTTCGCTCNTCTGAATCACACGGAGAGAAATGTTTCGTAAAAATTACGGAACTCACAATTCACTCACCGTTTACGGAATCGACTCAGGAAATTTAAGTGACGGTATCGTAATTTATTACAGGAGATTCAGATAAAAATTACGAAACGCTCCAGAAAAATTCCGTGACAGTTCCGTAAAATTTCCTACAACCAAATTTCGCTCCGGAATTACGGAAAAGATACGTAATTTTTATTGAATATTTCTCTCCGTGCAATGGAGGTATTTCAATTTCAGACACCAAGATGTCTGAAATTTAGATACAGACATCAGTTTCAGACACAAGCGGTGGTTGAAATTTTCAGACATCCGTTAGATTTTCAGACACTTTTAAAGATTCAGACGTTTTTTGCCATCTGCCATCTTAAATTCAGATGGTTGTCAGACACCTAGTTTTTGCAATGGATGAGTCAACTTTTCAGATATGAGAAATATCCTACAAATTAATGTTTGAATGGACTTTGTCGTCTGAATCAGGTGAGATATCTTAATAGTGAAATGTTTGAATCGCTCATAAATAACTGAATTTCAGACACAGAAAATATCTGAGAATAAATACCTGAAATTTTTCAGACACAAAAAATGTCTACCATCATTTTCAGACAGAAATTGTGTTTGAAATTTTCAGACATTAGTCAGATTTTCAGACACTTTTGAAGATTCAGACGTTTTTTACCGTCTGACATCTTAAATTCAGATGGTTGTCAGACACCTAGTTTTTGCAATGGATGAGTCAACTTTTCAGATATGAGAAATATCTTAAAAATTAATGTTTGAATGGACTTTGTCGTCTGAATCAGGTGAGATATCTTAATAGTGAAATGTTTGAATCGCTCATAAATAACTGAATTTCAGACACAGAAAATATCTGAGAATAAATACCTGAAATTTTTCAGACACAAAAAATGTCTACCATCATTTTCAGACAGAAATTGTGTTTGAAATTTTCAGACATTAGTCAGATTTTCAGACACTTTTGAAGATTCAGACGTTTTTTACCGTCTGACATCTTAAATTCAGATAGCTGTCAGACACTTGGTTTTTGTAGTGTACCTCGTGTTTAATCCTCTCTCGATGACTCCACGAAGACTATCCCAGGAAATGCAACACTCGAACCAAGATTCATGTAGCCCGTCTCCTCGCGTATCGTTAGCATGATTTATAATTGGCAACTATTGCAGATAAAATGCGTGAACATGCTTTTACCATAGAGTGCATGTACAACTCAAAGTGAAAACCATTGCGTTATTATTCCTAATGTTCTCAGTCGTGTACTCAACTGGAGTTTTACATTGTAATTTTAAATTAGATGGAATATGCATTGAATTATGACGTAAACTTGCGATTTCCGCAATTCCACGGATGCAGGGAAGCGTTTCAAACAAAACGTTATACATACCTTGACCGAACGCTCCAGAATATTTACCCATTCATCGATAATTCAATGAATATTCAATTCCAAAGGACAGGATTTTTAAAAATTGTTTCTTTGCATTTTTATTCGAGGGATGGGAAAATTTTAAAGTGGAAAGTTATTTGAATTTTATTTTTTGTTTTGAAAAAATGTACGAAGAAATCTTAATGAAAATTCTATGGAAAATGGAATTTTTTGTAAAAAGAATAAATAGTTTTTTATCTTAGGCAACTTATTTTGTTGAGATTATTTCTGAAAAAAATCACTCGGCTGAAATCCTTCGAATTTTTGCTTCAATTTTTTAATGAAAAAAAATGCAACGGAAAATTTAAAAAACTTATCCTGAGGAATTTCTGTAGAAGATATAGGAGAAAGATCAACATTTTCCTCTTTTCCTGTCGAATATTTCCTATTGAGAATTAAAATTTGTAAAAAGCGCAGAAAAACGTGAATTTTTCAGAGAAAGTTTAATAAAATATTTTCTTCCTGTGAGATTATTTCGTACTAGGGGGTTACGCCCCTTGCCCGCTCCTTATGACCCTTAATCTGAGCCCTCTGACCCTAAATCCAACCCTCGTGACCCTTATTGACCTTACTGACCATTGTGACTCTTAATCTGACCCTCGTGACCATTATTCTGATCCTTATGACCCTTAATCTGATCCCTGTGATCCTTAATCCGGCCTTCATGACCGTGATTCTGAACCTCCTAACCCTTATTCTGTCCCTCCTGACCATTATTTTGACCCTCGTGATCCTTATTTTGACTCTTGTGGAGTTTTAATTTCGAGTACCAAATTTTTATCACCAGAAGTCGATTTGGATTTTTCCAATATAGAGAAATATGAATTGACGCATTTTATTACAAATGACACAATTCCTCTCTTCCTCGTTTTCTTATACATCGGGGATGATTTTTTTCCGATTTTAATTGATGAAATGCTTCTTCCTGAAGAAAACCTCCCAATTATCATATTCTTCCCGATGAAGAAAAAAATAATTCCCCTCCTGGCAGGAGCATGTACGTTATTGACTTACCTGTTGCCCGTAGCATCAAAGGCCCCTCCGTAAATTACATAAATCCCACCAGAGAAAGTAGCGTAACGAGGCGTCTAGATCGTTAGAGAAGCCCGTGGGTACCAATACCGCCTTTGTGCCACGCTGATACACTTATTGGTTGGACGTATAAGTGGCCTGCAATCAGTAACAAAGTAAATGTCACGGCTGATGGTAAGAATTGAGAAGTTTATAAAACGTGAAAGGACGCCTGGATCATTTGATCTCCTTGTGTCCTCTGCACATGTGGTTTTTTTAACTTATGCATTGACCGTGGGCTCAAGTTCCTCAGGCGGGAATTACGAGTACTGAATGATTCAATGTGTTAAGCTGCGGGCTTCTTAGGCTTTAATGATATAACCTCGGCGTAACCTTGGTACGGCAATGGCGAGCTTACAGACGTACACGAGTCTGCCGTCATGCACACAAATCTTGGAAGGATATTTGCCAGCCTGTGGTCAGCCAACTTTCGGCCGACATTTGACAATTAGGGGGTGACCGATATTGAGCCGATATTTCACAGCTGAGTTTCGTCGAGCATCCAAAAAACATACTGGTTTAAATCGCCGTCGGATTGATTCTTGTCGATTTTCGGCTTGACTCAAGTCGAGTGACTTGGACTCCATCAATCCGAATTTCGGATCTGATATTTATAAGCTTGTAAGCAGAAAAGTGGATTATTCCAAGAAGAATCATGTCAAGTCGATTTGTCAACCTGATTCACGTCGACTTTCCGGATAAATTCAGGTCGATTTTCCGTTTGATTCAAGTCAATTCTGCGACTGGAGTCCATTCGATTTTTCGGCTTGATTCCAGTAGTTTTTTCGGTTTGATTCAAGTCGATTTTCGGCTTGAATCAAGTCGATTTTTCGATTTGATTCAAATCGATTTTTCGGTTTGATTCAAGTTGATTTTCGGCTTGAATCAAGTCGATTTTTCGATTCGATTCAAATCGATTTTTCGGTTTGATTCAATGTGATTTTGGGGAGTTATACATGGGGCGGTCGACAAGTCGACTTGAATCAAACCGAAAAATTTCGGATCTTCTCACGACGTCATGTGCAACTGTCCAGTCTTGTCGAGTAATGAACCAAAACTTGACAGCCAACATCTACCCAAGATTCCGCCAACACATGAATACGGAGATTCGCTTAATGTTATCACTCTTTGGTAGACTCACTAGTGATCCACACTTGTTCCCAGAATTTGCCAAATTCTTGTCAACGTCGGCGCAGCCCTGGGCCAACTCTGGCCTCTCCGAAATCTTCGATATTTCAACCAATTTCTCACGTGCGCTGTGATGACTCACACAGTGAAAACATCTGCCCAATTTGGCAAATTCTTGACACCGTCGGCGCAGCCCTGGGCCAACTCTGGCCTCTCCGAAATCTTCGATATTTTAACCAATTTCTCACATGCACTGTGATGACTCACACAGTGAAAACATCTGCCCAATTTGGAAAATTTTTGACAACGTCGGCGCAGCCCTGGGGCAACGCTGGCCTCCTCAAAATCTCCGACATTCTGACGGAACTCTCACTTGTGCTGCATGACTCATGCAGTAAAAACAAATTGCAAAATAGTTACTGAGTTTCGAACATGATTTTCCTGACGTTTCATATGCAAAATTACCGTTTGATGTCTTGCCTTTCACCCATTATCCTCGGATTTGATACAATTGAATATCAGCGTTGTGCATAAGTTCCTGGCAAGAATTAATCCTCGATTACTGAGTATTATCGCACATGAATTAAGTAGAGGATTTAATGAAATTGTGGTAACTAAATGCTACGGGTGCAGTGTCCATGACCTCTGGTGGGCATCAGTTGCATAAATACCGGGTGACTTTCCACCGATGCATTGTTATGCAAGTACTGTTCAATCGTTTGAAAAAATCGGGTGAATCGAGGGATCACTTTCACGAGGTCATGCGCAACTGGGTGACCTTGTGGTAGTATTTTTTCTTACAGTTGAAGTGCAGTTGAAAGTTGGCAGATGGAGATTGAGAATGACGGGGCGATTGAGTTTTTGAGGCGTTATACTTCGGTTATGTTTCCAGATGAATGGCTCGGTTTTGTAATTTGATGATTACTATAATTTTTGTTTTCGTGGAATGCGAGGTGGAGTTGGGGAAAATAATTATTATATATTGCCACAATGATTCGTCAATTTTTTGTATTGGAAAAAAAAAATTCTCAATGACACGAGGTTTACTGCTTCTCTCAGACACCCTTGAAGAGAGTCGCAGTACTAAAGTTTTTTTTACTCAGAAGTATTGAGAGAATGTCGATGATATTATACAATATGTTATGAATGACAATTTGGTTCTGGTCAGATATGTGGAAATGATGATTTACATGATCGATTCACATTATTAATACACATCACTTTCTTCGAAAGTATAATAGGCTCTCTCCAGGTTTTGAGGCTTTATGTAATTGTCAGTGAATTGATATGAAAACCTGGTCCAGTAGCGGAGTGGTAAAGGGTAACGAGTCGGTTATCTTTCAGCTGAAGTTTCGAGAAATATTTATGAATTTAAGAGAGATATCGAACTTTATCTGAGGATTTTTTTTTGTAAATCATCATAAAAGGTCCTGACAAAAATTTTATAATCCCCAGAATTGGCATTTCTTTTGGGAAATGGAGAATCGCATTTTTTCATCAAATATTCATCATTTGCAGATTTCGAAGTTTTGAAAATAATGGCTTAATAGTATGCGTCAAGGGCGGAAAGTCATGTTTTCCCGCCCGAGGTGCACATGCTATTTTTTAACACGCCTGCAAAGGAAAGTTTGTATTTTGCTGTCTGATGAGCGGGAGAAAAGTACGAACTTTCCGTGCAGGTGTGTGAAAAAATAGCATGTGCACCTCGGGCGGGAAAATATGACCTTCCGCCCTTGGTGCACAATATACCAGTTCTGGTCCTACACAATAATTTTCCCGAATATACGAAAAATTCCCCGAAGGAAAAATAACCGATGGGTAGTAACACGCGTTGTATTTGTTGAACGACCAAATGACCGGTTATTTTTGTTCATTTTTTCTGCCTACCAATTTTTTAAAGTGTGTAATTTGTGACTCGTTTATGATGGTAGTACATGAATTTTTCTCGCCACAGCAAGCCAAATTTCCTGAATGACGAACTGTCCAACCCAAAACAGCAGAAACTCGACCCCCAATTTAAAAATCCCAGTTTATACTTCTGAATTTGGGTTCCTGCACCGAGCCCAAACCGATTTCCCCTGGCGCCTTACATAAAATCCCATTTATAGCCATTACCCCCACCCCTCCGGGGACCTGAACCCCAGAATAATTACCCTCAATTAGCTCTCAGCAGCCTCCAATCATCCCATCATTTCTCATCACTCAATCAGCGACCGCGACAACTTCCTAACCTGAAAAAAAAAACCGCGAAGACGAATCGCGACAGATGCCATGTGGTCAGCCGGTGCCAATACAATTGCTCTGCACACGCGGTTCCGCAACGCGACAAGGTGGGCCTCGCAATACACCAAGAAACGGAATAGATAGTGAAAGTCCCCCGGAGCGAGTCGATAGGGGATGCCAGTCAGGTGGGGAAGGCAGGAGGGACGGGGTCCAGGTAAGGTATATGAGGGCCTCAGTTCGTGGCTCGCCTGGTACTCTAGCCTCGCTGTCCACTAACACAAACACAGGAAATTAATAAATTATAATTTATCAAGATGGGCGCCCTCGGGACGGTACGTATGGTGATTCCCCTAGTTTTATTAAAAACATCAAGGAGAATCCTCATGTGCATGTGCGCGTTCCTTTACCGTTTTACAATTAATGTGTCTGTGATGAAGTGTCAACTAATTAATAATAATCATGAATAGATCCAAAATGATTTGGACCTTTTTTCCATAATTTTTTAATCACCAAAAAGTGTTCTAAAAATGTTCTGATCGATTCTGAAAGTCGAAATGACTTCCTATAAATTCTTACGAATTTTTTGTCTATGCAAATTCATTATGTAACATGCAAGAACGGTGAACGTAATACACAATTAAAAAGTCTTCAGATCACCCAATAAATTATAAAATCGCGTGCGACCCGTCACTTATCTCACCACTTTCTCGTTAAACCAGATCGGCTCAACTTTTTTCTTTATCATGTATTAACTAATACATCGCGTTGGCGTTGGCGTGATCATTGATGCGTAGACTCGAGGAAGTGTCTACTCCACAAAACAAGTTATCGTGTCTTATTATACCGGCCCTAATTTATAAACGTGAAATTCCTGAAATGTTGCGATTAGGGAATCACGCGAATTCAATATCTTCAGTTTACTGGTCACCCGCGGTCAGTCTGTCGCAAGCTGGAGTTTTGATTTCACCTGCACTGATCCATATTGCCGATTAAGTTTAACGACTCTCATTCTCGAAAGTACTGAAAAACTTGTTTCGTAACGTTTTTTAAATTATGAAGGAATGTGGAGTTGTTAAAATGAGACAATTGAAGTTAGAGGCAATAACCCCATAAAAATGGGTATTTCATTGGCATCGCAGTCATGATTACGAGGATCTGCTGTCCGGCTGCGTCAACCATTGAGTCTTGGATATGGGGGATCGTCTCGACGCCCTCGACAGTCCTCGCGACAACTCTCAAACTTTTTTTGTTCTACTTTTTTCTGAAAATCGTCAGTGAATTTTATTTTGAAGACTTTTACACACCGAAAATTATTACGACGAGTCCTCATGTTCCCGCGGTCTCTTCGAATCCGTTGAATCCTCCGGAAGGAACTTCGCCGAGAGCTCGTAACATATTTTAACCCCTAAATCACAGAAGAAATCGGTAATGTGCCACTGAAATGAAGAGAGAAACACAGAAAATAGGAATCAGTGGAATGGTAATAGCATTTTTCCGGGCTGTTGCGATGGGTTTTTTACTCGTGTGGAGTCGGCGTCCAAGCCGAAGGCGAGGACTGGCCAACTACACGAGTAAAAAACCCTGTCGCTACAGCCCCGGGACAAGATTTTTTGTAGTGATTTTCAAGTTTCTGAGTTTGGGAAGTGCGTAATACTAATTCCCAGATGAGAAATCGCGAGAAGCGGTGCAGAAATAGTATTTTATGACACCAGGTCCGATAAACCGCGATTTAACCTCACTTCGCTGGCTTAGATCGTAGTTTTCGGGCCCAGTGACAAAATATATATTACGTTGCTAGTGAGAAAAAGAGGTTTTATTTCACAATTTTTGAAAAAATGTGTCCAATGACGATTACACGGAGAGACATTTTTGATAAAAATTATTCCATCATTCTATAAATGTGTATCAAGAGTCATCGTGTCCTTATTTCTATCCCGAAATTTAGTAAAAATTAATATATGATGATCAAATTTTATTCTAAGTTAGAGAAATTTTATCCTGACGTAAATTTTACCTTTTCAGTCTAATAATGTTTATGTAGATAACAACGAAAATTCTAGAACGGTTGGTAATGTGTGCGCGGTTATGTGTGCCTAAGCGGACAATAAACGGCTTATATTTAGACCCTCATTGCCTGTTACCCACTTGTTTTACTTTATATTCTAACCTTCATTTTATAACCTCCACTTTTTCATTCTTATATTACACTGGAGAGAGTTTGCTACCAGGGATGCGAGATGACATCACGTTTTGAAATCGGTCAGGTCAGAAAAAAATGACAGTCATGTGACGTCATTTTTTCTCAGGTCAGAAATTCGGTCACACTTCCTGATGTCATTCTACAACCAACTAGCTAGATGTAAAATGACCGTCAGAAATGTTTTTGTCACAAAAAGTTGTCACATTTTTTTGGATAATTCAAAATTTCATGTTTATCATTTTTATTTGAATGTCTTTATTGCATTTTTAAACGAGTTCTAGTTCAGTTATGAAACTTCTCACATCTTAAATTTGCCATTTCCAGTCTTCTATATTTGTTTCTCTTCAATAGTTTATACTTTTATAAACTAAACGAAAAAATAACGTCAATCATTTGGCTCTCTTCAGTCTCCTTTCAGGAATACTAGTGTAAAGAAACGAATACTTTGTGCAATTTAAATGCACAAATCAACTAACAAAGTATATAATCCATGTCAAGAAAAAAAAAGTAAAATATAAATGATGAAAGCAGATGAGTTTAGTCAGAACTTTCAGCCTCTTCTTCTTCTTCATCATTGGACAGGGCAAACTTAGCGTTCCTATTTTTTTCGCATTTGAACACGATAACATATATTTTTTGTGGAGTGGAAACAATTGCGATACTCATGCCAATTCTCCTGATCGTGAGTCAAGGCCGTTATGATTTGCGAATTTTTGAATTTCAAAGTGGTGACACCTGGGGGGACACTAGCTAGATGGAATGTGACGGTCAGATGGTAAAATGGTCACAGATTTGTCAGATGACCAAAAATTGTCATCTTTCCGTCGGTCACATGACCGTCACTGACAGTCATGTGACCGGTCAGGTCATTTTCTCGCATCCCTGTTTACTACAATCTGGTCTGATTCAAAAGAATCATCTTCAAATTGAAATACTCATCCCCCAATTGAGTATAAAATGTACTTGAATCAAGAATAATATGCCTGAGTCAAGTATATTTCATTGTTGATTCAGATTTATGCATATACTTGATTCTGATATAAAATATACTGAATTCAGGTATATTTTTTTCCGTGAGAACAATCACAATAATGTGCAATAGGTAGAAATGATGAAATAGATTTTAGGATCATCTCCAAATCGAAGGAACATATCAAAATGTCTATTAAACCCTTTTTTGTAGGTCTTGAACCTCCCCACAAAAAAGATTTCAACAAAAATTCCGTTATCTCCCTCACATCCGAAGATATCCATCAAAAACAAACCTGACGCCCAATCAAAAACCCCATTTACTAAAAGCATCTTCACCTTCCAGGTGATACTGGCGATGACGATAACCTTAACCCTCTCCCAGCAGTACCGCCAAGGTTACGAAGACTACGAGCAAGAGTACGACAGTAATCCCCGCCAAGCGCAGCCGACCCCGCGAAGTTACCCAAGCGGTTCGCCCGCCGTGCAGCGCCCCCAGGCGCCGGCGTCCCCTAAACCCACGCCAGTCGCCATCTTGAAGCAGATAAACCGTCACAACGAAGACGGTTCCTACACGTACGGGTTCGAGGGTGCCGACGGCTCCTTCAAGATCGAGACAAAACTCGCCAACGGTGAGGTCAAAGGCAAATACGGATTCGTCGACGATGGCGGCAAGGTCAGAGTCGTCCAGTACGGCGCGGATCAGTACGGCTTCCAACCGGAGGGAGAGGGCATAACCGTCGCTCCGCCAACCCTCGTCGACGAAACCACCAACAAAGAAGCTCTCCAAGGTCAAAGCCTGGACTACCAAGAGTACCAGCGCCCGGCGCCTGCGAGGATTCCCCAGCAGGTGGCGCCCCAGAGGCCTCAGTACCAAGCACCTGCGCAGCCCGCCCCACCCCAGTACCGTGAGCCTGCGCAACCCGCCCCCACCCAGTACCACACAGAGGCCCTTTATGGATCAGGCCCCAGGGGCCCGATTTTCTCACCTGCAGGACAACAGTCCCCACTTCTGAGGGCTCACGACAGCTTCGAACAGGCGCCAGCGTCTCAGGCCTACAACCAGGGCCCTGTGCAGTTCGGACCGGCACCCGTTAGGGAGGCCCCGCAAACCCGTAGTGCCCAACCCAGTGCTGCCCCTGGCGGCGGAATCCTCGATCAACTCGCCAGAGACTACGCTCTACCCCAGAACTCCGCGCAACCACTTCACGACATCAGTTTTGGATATTATTGATAAGGAATTTTTGTAATTGTGTAATAAATAATTCTCAGTCATTCGTGGTGTCATTTTTTATCAGGAGGGGGGGGGGGCAGGGTCAGGGTGTGGGGGCCCCGGGGAAGGTCGCGGTAATCTCTGAAGGGAGACCTTCGAGGTGGCAATGTAATTTGTTGTCTGTCAGGAGAAAATTAATTGAATGGGAATAAAATCGGGAATAGGGGGGTCGGAGTAGGGCAGGAGTGGGGGGGGGGAGTATTGGTCATCGATAGATCGTTGAAAGGCTTTCAATTCCATTCCCACGGATTCGTTGACTCTTTATTTATGGGATAATGAATGATCATTAGTTAATCATTCAATCAACGGTTTTTTATAGATTTTTATGGGTTTTTTCGCCTCTGTTATTTTATTGAGGAGATTGGGGATCGATTTGTATTGGAAAAAATAATCGTGTTCAGGTAGACGAGATAAAACTTGGGGTGTGGTCATTTCCCGGTTTTGTACTTCGTAACGTGACTTTCTAATCGGAAGTGAATTGGAAGGAGAGATAATAAAATGGGAGACGTAAAAAATTGAGGGAACAGAAAATCTGCATGTCTATTTGCACTTCTTATTTCAATCGTAAAGTTCGCCCCGGTGAGGGGGAGTGACAATTTCTGGATGGGGGAGAATCGGTGGGAGGTTTTCTCATGAACTGGAGGAATCATGATGACCTGCTATGGGGGGAGGGGGATTGGGAATATTTTCATTGGGATTTTAATTTGTTGGGGCCCTGGTATGACCTCAAATGTCAACGGAAGATGGATAGCTTTATGGCGGCGGAAAATAATATTGTAGTATTGAATTAGGATGGGAGATCTCAAATTATGCAACTGATTTTTCTCATTTCATCATTTTTTAAAACAATTCACTTCCACTTATTTACCCACAGAAAAGGCTAAACGTAAATTACGTTTAAAAAGTCTTTTACGTTTGAAGTTGAAGCATAAATTACGTTCAAAATCGCCGTAAGTTACGGTTACATGAAAGTAATTTACGGTTTAGTATTTGAAAATTACGCACAAAATCGCCGTAAATTACGATTACATAAACGTAATTTACCGTTTCGTATTTGTAAAGTGCGGTTGCATGACATAATTCACGGTTTCATATGCGCAAATTACGATGATTTTTTCCGTTGTTTGAGTTTACTTACCCGTAATTAAAGACGAAGAGAAAAAAAGTTATTTGAAGTGTAAAATCCGATGTTTTTTTCCGGTAAATTACGGATAAGTAAATCGTAAAATACGTTTCTATTAAGATCGTAAATTACGATTTCTTAAGCGTGAAATATGCTTAGTGAAACGTACAAGATACATTGTTTTGGCGTAATTTACGTTTTTATTGTGCCCGTAAAATATTTTTTTGAAGCCTGCATTCCGATTTTCATGACGAAAAAAAAGCCACCAGATATTGGCGTTGAGTGTAACTTACCTTTAGCAAACCGTAAATAACGCTTAGTAAGATTTGATTTACGGTTAGGTTTTTCTGTGTGCATATCAACATGAGTTGTTGTAATTATCTCTTCTCTCTATATCTCTCTATATAATAAAAAAATAAGGAGGTTTAAAAATTCAGGAGTACCCCCTCCCGCTTCACCCCCCCCCCCCCCTTTTTTTTTT